AGGTGCGTTCCTCTAAGTCTTCCTACCAATATGACCAAGTTGCGAAAACAAGGTCAAATAACTTCTATATAACGAAAGGAGACTGTGACCACAAAAAGGCCACACCATCTTGTTCTTCATATCTTTTATTAAAGAAGTTTATATTTGATTGTAATGAATTTAATTTCCGCTGGGTCTAAATATTGCTTCTGTTACTTGATCGGTAATTTCTCAACCCACCACTTCTCTTTCTTCTTCTCTCTTAATGGATTCGTTTCAGCTAGTGATATCATTGTCAACACAGCAAGTAATAGTCTATACCTAATATTTTCTTTTATGAAATTGCTTGTACAAGGAAATTACATTCTTTGGAATTTGCATTACTATTGCTCTTATCCTGACCACTTGCAAGATTCTGTCTCGACTAAACACTTTCACTGATTTTCCATCTTAATTGCACTGTCTAGGTTTATGAGGAATTGGTAGCTATTAAGGCCGATGCTGCGGAAGCGCGTGTCCGTCGCATCCTGGCTGGCCTTGGATTCACGCCGTCCATGCAAGAGAAGGCGACTCGCGATCTTTCAGGAGGGTGGCGAATGCGAGTCAGCCTGGCTAGAGCTCTCTTCCTGGAGCCCACTCTGTTGCTCCTTGATGAGCCCACTAACCATCTAGACCTAAACGCAGTCATCTGGCTGGATAAGTAAGAGTATTTCGTTTAAATGTACTATTCAAAATTTTTATAATTCATTACTTGTGCTTAAAATATGAGTAACAAGGTTACTGACGCGTTCTTATTTCGGTAACTTTTTAAGTTTTAGATAATCTTGGCTGCGGGTCATGGTATGATGTTTCTGATCGACCTACAATCTTGTTACTCTTGGCTTCAAATAAACAATTAATTAAATGAAAATCGGTTACGGGCACTTTGATTATTTGCACTTTATTCCTCAATCTAACTGTTTTTCCCAAGCTCTCTGATCCGTCCTAGATATAGTTCTGATTGATTTTCAAAATTCTTTTTGCCCTTGAGTGGCTAGGCCAAGAAGTAAACTAGTCCTCTTGAAAGGACTTATTGTTTCAAGTATCTTCTCATTACATGATATTTATTCACCCTATTTCATTTAAGGTGATGAAGGGTGAGTAGTTTAATTTTTTCACAATCATATGGCTAGAGCTGATGCTTCCATTGAATCTAACATAGCCTTGCTTTCTCA